ATAAGCAAAAGGACGTTGGGGCTCATGAAAGCTTTTTGTGGCGCACCAATGGCACCGCGTTATGCTCCGACACACACACACACACACACACAGGAGAGAGTTACTAGAAAGGGGGGAGGCACCACCCGGCACCTGCCCCAAATGGGAATATACTCCATGCCGAGGCAGCAGCAGCAGCATCGACGAATACCGTTACGTGGTGTGCCGAAGAAAGCCCGACCCAAAAAAAAAAAAAAAGGGTGAGAGAGAAACAAAAAAAAAACCAACTGTAGAAATGGCAAACCCAAAACTGACACCAAGCGCGGCTAACCCTTTATCGCACATAGGGTTTCCCTTACAGGACCGCATATTTAGGTTTTTGTTATGGTGTTCCCACTGTCGGCGTCGCTGCTAGTGCGCTCTGTGCGCTGTGTGTGTGTGTGTGTGTGTGTGTACGGGGGGCTTGGCCATTGCCCACACAGACAGTGGCATACAGACATATGTACGAGTATGTATGCATATATATATATACAAAGTTTTGGGTTACCCAAAATCGACATGATGCTATATTATATGGCAACACAATTTGCTCAATGGTCTGCCGCTGCGCTGCCACTAGCAGAGCCACAGCCACAGCGCTGCTGCTACTGCTGCGACGTCGTCGCCAGAGGAGACCCAAGCCCGCTGCCAACTTTAAGTAGCACTCGACATCGTGGGCGGGCACTACTCAGATCTGTGTGTCTGTATGCGAGGAAGGCGTGACAGCAGGATAGGGTACACAACTGCCAGGCACCAAGAGGGCCCAGCGCGCCCTTCGCCCACCGCCCACCGCCCCCCGCCACCAACAACCGATCGTCGTACTTCTGTGGGCTGTAACTGCTGCCATTTTGTGTGACACAAAACTAAAACCCAACTATAAAATTGTGTCCCATCTGGGCGAATACATACACACACACAGCAGCTGCCAACTGCACATAAATAAATACATAGAGATATGTATGTAATTATGTAGATACATATGTACCACGTTTGTATATAACACATCGAAGAAGAGCACATACATACATAATTAGATGGCCAGGCGGCCACTTGGACACCAAATATATTAGGGGGCACAAGCAAAATTCGTGAAGAATTTCAGAGAACAGAATCTTTAAGCCTCAATTAGAATTCCTAATCAGATGCCACTAAGACTGGTCATATTTCGTACGATATGTACCTGCTCCTTATCGACATAAGCCATTTAATATTGCAAGGCAGGTTTCTACCTTAAACCACCAGCTTCCCTGCCTTACCTTTTTCACGTAATATACCTTGCACAGTTTGCTTGTGCTTTCGGCCCCTAAAATTCCCAACTGGTTCAGGCTAACAAATAATGTAGCCGCATCGGCTGACAAGTCTAAATCATCGGCTTCGACCCAGTCGCGCCTCAATTGACTTCAATTCGTCGATGGAAGAAGAACTTGATTCGTTGTAATTTTTTGGACAGTGCCTGGCAACATGGTTCAACCATTGCCGGGCCATAATAAATACATTAAAAAGGGAAATAAGTCTGCAAGGGGGAGGGGTACTTGTAGCACTGAATACAAGTGGATATAAATCTGCAATGCCGATTCTGGATAGTTCTAAGCGTCTGTTTTTTGACATGCACGAACATGATTGAGTACGGAGCTTGATGTGCATATATGAACATAACATATGGGTACATATAGTCCACATATAAAGGTGCTATCCGTAGGCGAATTCTTCGGCCGATGTGTTCGACGAAAATTCGATTGTGGATAGCAGCCATATTGGTTCGTTGTTCGAAACCAATAAGATTGCCATAATAACATAGCCAATACGACAGAAACCTTTCTATTCCGACGAACAAATTCGTCTGTGAACAGATGCTGCTCAGCGGGGCAGACAATCCTATTTGTGTATTTTATTTCCCGATCTAAAATATCACTATACATACATATATAATAAAATATGTGCCACATAAAATATCGATGAAGAAGAAATCTATGGTCTAAGAAATTGTTTCTCTTCTTTAATTTTTATGCATTGACCATTTAACTGAATCAAATTCCACTTTCATACCGGAAAAAAAAACAGCAAAGTCTATTAATTTAAGGTAGGGTACGGCGCGAGGGACGCCACCTGCGCTGCATAGCTTGACTGACCTGACCCTACATCCGTTATACCTTGCACAGCTGGCATACAGCTGTGGCGCCTTGCAATTCCCAACTGGTTCAAGCTCACAAATATCGAATACGCAGCTGCTGGCATTACCTAATCACTGGCTACAATTTGACTGCATAAAACTCGTTGAAACAATTTTTGGCGAAATATCCATAATCCATATCTATATCCATTACCCATCATAAGAAATACATTGACATAAGAAGAATAAAGACAGTCTGGCAACTTCTCATATTTGTACTCCTCCTTTTGGACACGCACGCGAACATGTTCAGCAGAGATTCTTTAATAGGGAATGGGTTTTCCCTTCATATGGGAGCAAAAAAAAATATTCTTCATCTTCTTTGACGTCTAGAGAGAGGTGCAGAGGCACAGATCCAATCTTATTGCCTCCCCTAGCAACTAAAACATTTTCCAGCACCGCTTTGTTTTGACTGAATAAAAGTTTTCATCAAAGTGGAACCCAGACACAGAGGGACACTGGGTGGGAGGCAGGTAGAGACAGTCTCTGATATGACAAAAGCGACTACTCACCGTTCTGACCCAGTTTTGCATGTATTGTGCAGATATCAATGACTCTATATGCACGTGTGTGTGTGTGTGTGTGTGTGTGTGTGTGTGTGATAGGTGGAAAAACGGAAAACGTAATGCAGCCATGCCAATCAAGTAATGCAGCAGAAGAAACTCTCTGCTCAAGACATTTGGGGAGGGCGGCTGGCATAAACGACGACGCTGATGCTGATGATGAAGATGAAGATGATGTTCGTTCTACCAAACGTTGTCTCAGCATACACTGCACTGCACTGGCCATGAGTAGTGGAGTGGAGGGGTCGTCTCTCGGCCTATACCCCCGCCCGAACCACCGCCAGTGTCGCTGACTGTTTGGTTCGTTTGGTTGGTTCGTTGGTGTCACATTTTCGGTGAAATTTTGGTTTGCAAACTTTGGCAAAACTTGGCCAAGTATTTGGCCTCAAGTGTGTTAAAACGAGACAACGCTAGCGAGCGATAGAGCTAGCTAGACATAAGAAAGAGAAACAGAAACACAGATGGAGAACGAGAAGCGACAGAGAGAGAGAGAGAGAGAGAGAGAGAGAGAGAGCACAAGAGCATGTGAGTGTATTGTGGTCGGTCTGCGTTTCGGAGAGTAGAAATTCTCAGAGCTGCCTTGACGGTTTTCTTAAGCTTCGGCATTTCGTCCTTACCCCCAGCCGGGACCTCTTCTTGCGAACGTCTCTGTCACTGCCGCAGTCTCAGCCAGCGTCACCGTCGCGCTTTGCCACTGCCACTGCCTGTGCCTGTGTCTATGTCTGCGCCTGCCTCTTAGAAGGAAGCTGCTGCAATGGCAGAAGTGCACTGGCTTCCTTCCACTTGCCCACAAATGTGGGCTGCCACTTGATGGCGGCCGCATGGACACAGCCAGCCAGCCAGTCAGCCAGCCATGGGCGAGACAGAGATAGGAAGACACATGGCCAGAGAGAGAGAGAGAGAGAGAGAGCGAGCGAGTGGGACGGATCCCTGCTTGGGGGATAATTTTAATGAATTTATTTAGGAGTTTGTCTTGGTCTCGGCCCCCCCCATTACGGCAGGCGGCCAGCGGCAGGTGGCGCTCCCCATTGGACACACTCATACATACATACATACTTGCATACACACACAGCAAGCAGCAGAAGCAAGCAGCAGCAGCAGCAAGCAGTAGCAAGCAGCAATGGCTGCCTGTGGAGGGATCCCGAATCCATCCGCCATGGAGGCCTTTGCCAATGTTGTTTTGCAGCAACCAAAATGTGCGGCAACATTTTTGGTCTTGCACAGTGGGCTATATGTGGTCGAGACGGCTTTTGCAGGCTCTCTCTGCTGCTGCTGCTGCTGCCGCTTCTTCGTGCTCCAGAGTCTGGGTCTGGGTCTGGTCCTGGTTTTGTTGTTGCTTCCGGGTATTTTTTTATTTGTCTTTGTTTTTTTTTTTGGTTTAGAGATTTTGGTTATTGGTCTTGGTCTTGGTCTTGGCATTGCACTTGGCTGTCTCTCCTCGCATGATTTATGTAGTTGGCCTAACCTTCATACCCTTGAAGTGTTGCCTAATGGCAAACAACAGCTTGGCAGGGCCAGGGGGGAGGGCACACACATGATCTGGAAACGGCTGACAAATATGTGCTGCATCTGTGCTAGCAAACACTTTAAAACTAGTTACACAATTATGATAAAATGTTAAGAGTGAGGAGGAGACTTTAAAGTTTATTTCTATATGGATAGAGCGATGCTACTCTTCTTGCATCTTCTTCGTACCACTCGCTCTGCGATTTTGTTGTGTTCTCTATGGATGGCAGTAGCTGAACTTCTCCTCATTCTCTGTGCAGACTTTGGCGGCTCTCACGCTCTTTTTTCTCTATTGCCTCATCCTAAGTATTGCTGCTTCTGCTTAATCCTTTTTCCATTCTTCTCTCAGCTACAAAAAACACAAAGCACTGACCTCTGAGGCTGTGGCATTGCATCGAAAATCAATCGAATAGAATTTTAATTATTTTATAAGCGAAAATTCTTCTATTTTTTTATGCGCATATTTGGCAACGAATAAAGGAACTATTTTACGATGAGTTGCCATAAAATGTTTACAATACGGAAGAGGCTATATTCCAGCCAATTTCAATGCTAAAAGAAGAACACTTTCAGCTGTCGAAGATTGAATAGAAATAAGATATTTGTGTCTATAATTTCAGAGGAAATTTAGCTGCTGTTGCGACAACTAAAAGCAAAGACTGACTCCAGTCGAATTCCTTCCATTATACACACATATAGTATGGTCAGTAATCTGATTGTGCTTGCTCTTATCTTCCTGGCAGGTTTCGCCCATCATTTGGTGGGCATGCACAGTCATCTGCATGCGCCCGACTGGCGCGCCCACATGGCGCTGGGTGGACGTTCGGCGGGCTTTCCAGCAGGCCCATTCTTTGGCCATCATGCAGCATTTCCGGCAGCCAGCGGCTTGAGAGGATTGAGCGGTAAATGCTGTCAAAAATATACACCATTCAATAGACAGCAAATTTTAATTCTTTCAATCTAATCCAGCAGATGGCCAGCAGCAGCAGCAGCACCAGCAGCACCAGCAGCAACAGCAATTGGCGACAGTGGGTGCGGCACATAGCACCACCAGTCCGGAGGGATCGCCCACCACAACGACCAGTGGCACGTTGAGTGCGTTTGTTCAGCCACCGATCCACTGTCCGCTTGGCTCGCCGCGATCCCCACCCACGATGCTCACCTCGCTGCAGCACGACAATAACAACAACAGCAGCAACATCGATGCGGGCTTCGAGAGCGACAGCATTTCGGTGACGGGTTCGCCTCGGAAGAGCATCAGCTCGCCGCTCACGCACGACGAAGAGGAAGCTGAAGCTGAAGCGGAGGCAGAGGCAGAAGCGGAACCAGACGGAGAGGCAGAAGCGGAAGCGGAAGCGGAACCGGGCACACAGCTGAGTGGCAGCGATGCCAGAAGTCTGGGTACGATCAGTGGACGAGTTGCCGGATCACTCACCGAGAGCGCACCTGGTTCGGGTGGCGCATTCACGGCGCTCATTCAGCGCAGCAAGAATCCATCGGAGCTCTTTGGTGGCTTTGCGGCAGCGGGCGGCAATCACTTTGCCCCATCGCACAGCTTCAATCCGGCCCTGGCCGCCCAGCTCTTCCTGCAGAGCCCGCTCCTGCCGCAGTCCAGCCAGTGGCTGTACACCCAGCTCTATGGCAGCTACAGCGATCTGCCCTGGCTAAGGAGCGCTGCAGCAGCGGCAGCGGCCAGTGCGGCACCTGCTCAGGCCCAGGCGCAGGCCCAAGCGCAGGCACAGTCCCAGCAGCAGCAGCAGCAGGACTCAGCGACTTCGTTGATGAGTGGCGGCGGCGATCATGACGGTGTCAACCTGATCAAGCGATGTGTCACACTGATCACGCACAATCCACCGGATGCGGAGAATGCTAATCCGAACGCCTCGCCGCCGGTCAGCTCCACACGCCGTTCGCCCTCGCCCGTGGAGACCATCGACCTGGACGATGTCAGCACCACATCTCGCTCGGCCAGCGGTTCCGCTTCCGGTTCTGGGTCCAGTGGCGGCGGCGGCGGCGGCCCCATAAGGACGCGCACACCCAAGCCGTCGGCGGATGTGTGGCGCCCCTACTAGCGGCTGGCGGCCGCCTTGCTGGGCACTTGCCTGGCGGCGCATGGACAGAGCGAGCACGGCATCGATGGGAAGATCAGACCCAAGGCAAACGGAGAGAAAGATTGAGATTATGAGAGACAGAGAGAACAGAGAGATACAGAGAGATAGAGAGAGATAGAGAGAGAATTGCGGTTGTGGTGTTGTGTGAATAGTCGCCATATCGCAGCTGGCGAGGGTTGCTCCATGGAATTGTGCTGTTTGTGGATTTCTATAACTATATAAATATATGCAAAATTCATGCCATTTGTTATTAAAATGATCTGTTCAATGAGTGAAACATAATGCCATAAGGTCCGACGAGAAAATCGATATGCCGGCAAGATCATAAAGATCAGCCAAGAACTCACTTCACAGTTCTATGTAGCAAGAAATCCAGTTTGAATAGAAATGTACCAGCGAGCGAAGGCAATGAAAATATTAAAAACATTTTTCAGCCGCATTTAAACCATAAATATTCAGGCATCAATTCATTGAGCAACCCTCGCACTATGTAATGTTTTTTGTGTGTTATTTTTTTGTTTTTTTTTTTGGTCAACCCCTAGTCTAAGCGGCTCACATATCGAATTTAAATCAATTAGCATGACCCTATGACATATGAAATACAAAAAAGAAAATATATATATATGAAAAATAGTTCAAGGCGGTGGGCAATTATAAATTAATATCTAATATATGCATACATATGTATACATATTTACTGATATATGAATGTACATATATATGCATAGATCTGTGTACATTGAACATATATATAAAGATTGCTCCAAGTTTCTGCCCCTTCAATGAAATATTTGCAAACAATTATAAATATATTTAGAGATTTAAGATATTTAATGAAACATTTTTTTTTGTGCAAGTAAAAGAGTATAGATAATATATACATACATACGAGGAGATACATATAGAGAAGAGGAAAACATAATACAAATATTTTAAAATTTATTAAAAATAAATTTAAGCCAGATCACACACACACACACACACAGACAGAAGGACAGACAGAGATGAAATGATGTACATATACAATATATAAGGGGTACTGCGAGTAGTGTGCCAAAGATTCGTTAATAAAGATTTCAATTAAAAATTAAAAATTAAAAAAAAAATGATTCAACGAAACGAAGCAGAAAAGAGTATTCACAGTCGTATTGATAACTCATTTAGACTTGGCGAAATGCTCCTCCAAATCCGCTGCATACCCAGTTACAGTTACAGGCAAGAGCGAATGGCTGGGAGATGGGATTTGGATAATCAGCGCCGCCAAGAAAAGCTTTTAAGAAAATTAATTCACCTCCTCCTGGCCAAGCCAGCGCACACCCATCAAAGGGGTTAACAAGAGTTAGAGGCGGGGGGGGGTTGTGGAGTTTGGGGAGTTTGCAAAGCGAAAAGAGAATTGAATTTATTGCCGTAGAGACTTTGGCGCAAATAGAAGTCTCGCTAAATAAAAAGTTTAAATAAATGGTCAAACTTGAAAGCGAAGCAAAAAAAAAAAGAAGAGACGTCTAAAAGTAAAGCAGCCAACAGAAAAATCCTGGAAAAAGGGTCTCTCGGCCAAATGGACGAGGGCGATAGAGAGGGGGGCAAAAGACTTTCAACTTGTGATACGAATATGTTGCCGGGGAATCTGGCATTCGCTTTGGCTCTCGTAGTCGCACTCGCTCTGGCCGCCCTGGCAGCTTATTTAAGTCTCGGCGAATAATGAATGAGTTTTCCCAGCTCATATTAAATGAGCTTGGCTGCGATCCAAGCACGGAAATTCCCACCAGCCCGGCTCTTTTCTCCCCCCACCCCCCTGTCTAATGAAGCATAGAAACAATTAGCGAATGGCTTCTAAGACGACAAGAAAAAAAATTGAAAAAAAAAAAACAAGAATAAAAAGGGATTATCTCTGTGCAAGCTTTGGGGTCTTAATGTAATCGCTTGTCTTCAGCTCAGCTCAGATTATTTATCTTATTCTTATTTGCTGAGGAACTTTGTTAACCCTTTTTATCAGCACTTCGCTGAAACGCAATAAATAATTGTTGCTTGGTATAGGATAAATGTCCCCTAAAACTTTCCAGTTGAATTTTTCATTTTAATATATATATATATATTTTTTAATATATATTTTTAATCATTCTTCTGGTTATTTGCCCCGCTAATTTCTTATTGTAAATTCCTATATTTATTCTGGGTACAATTCCAAGCAACTCATTTGTCAACTGTTCGCAACTAATCCCAGACCCAGAGCCATATGTGACACCACCCCTCCTCACAACACCCCCTCACAATCCACAATCCAATTACGTAGATGCGACGCGTCGAGTATCATGTGTAAGTAAAGAAAAAGGTTTATCTACCGTGCCCGAATTTGAAACAAATGGCAGAAAATTAACTTTGCCTTATGACTTGGAACTGACAAATCGTCAACGTATCCTGGTAGCTGGGACCCGATCCTTGTCGTTAAAATACGAAAATTAACATACTCAAATGTGAGTTTTAACCCAAAACACACACACACACACATTGGCACACTCCGTGTGTGTGTGTGTGTGTGTAAAAAGGAGCAAAAGAAATTAAAAATAAATAACATAAAATGAAAGGCCAAGGACTGGCCTCGCCTGGCCAGGCCCTTGAGGGGGGTGGGTCCACTCTCCACCCACCACCCACCACTCTCTTTCTCTCGTCATCAAGTCAACCTTGTCTCGTCGTGTCACCTTTTCTGACACCGGCTTCTTCTACTTCTACTGGCTGTCATCCCATCATCCTGCTGGCTGGGCTGGCCTGGCCTGGGCTGGCCTGGTCAATGGCCATGACAGACCCAGCTGGGCCTTTGGCCTTTTACTTATCTTTTACTTATTTTCGTTACGTTACGTATTTTTTTTTTATTATATTTTGTTTTTTTTTTGTTGTATAGAAAATCAGAAAATCAAATGTTGGCTGTCGGTGTCGCTGTCTGGAGACGTTGTCCTGGCTACCCGTTGGTTGCCGTTTTCTGCCTCAAATGATGACTGGCATTCGATGGCGACACGGGCCAAGTGTGGGCGACTGGCTGCTGGCTGCTGGCTGCTTGCTGCTGGCAATCTTAAGAAACGGCAAGGACTCAACCTAATAAACTGTTGCCCAGGACAACAACCAGAATTGACACTGGCACTCCACCCAGCCACCCAGCCACCTCTCTCTGTTCTCACTGGCAGATGGCTGTTAACAAAGGACAGGCCAAAAACTTTCATATCGTGTTTGAGGTTGAACAGGTTCGAAATTAAAGCATCTGTCCTGGGTCCTCTTTTGTGTGGGACTGTTGCTCAAGCGTTAAATAGAAAATTTTATGGCCACTCCTGTGTGTGTGTGGCTGTGTCGCTGTGTGTTGTGTCCTGGCAACCAACACAAGTGCACAATTGTCCACTCACACAGACACAGCCACAGCCTGAGACGGAGACGGCGACTGAAACTGAGTCTGACTCTGAGTCGGAGATTTGAAGAGCCAAGAAGCAACCACTCTCTTGTGCATCTCTCAATCGCGTTTTCATTTCAATAAGTGGGCTTTCAATTAACATGTTACCCCACCCGGCACCGGCATTGGCACCGGCACCTGCCTTGCCTCCTGCCTACACTAGTACGTGCTACGTGCCGCTTGCCGCTCCTGCAAGTAATTTGACTTTATGTCATTATCAAATGCCTGAAAACTTGCAAGGAAGAGCAAGGGGGAATGCGGAGCAGGATACAATCTACCGTTTTCTGCTAATTATGCCATCATTAGAGAACCCCCCCACACCCACACCCACACACACACACATGCATACAACACACACACACACACACATGCATGCAATAAATTCCCCTTGTCGCCCCATCACACGAGGCGTATCATCATCTGACTTCAGTTTACTGCAAATTGCTTGAATCTCTGTGTGGATGGATGGATGGATGGCTGGATGGGTAGGTGTCTTTATTATGACGCCTCTGTCACACACACACACACACACACACACACACAACATGCACAACAGCATGCTATACATATGTAGATAAATTTTGGGGGCGAGAGAGAGAGAGAGAGAGAGAGCTCCTTGAGAGGCCGCCGTCGCCGACTCGCTATTAAATCACTTGCAGTGCTAATTGCAGTGCTTATTATTAATAAATTGCTGGCTGGTCTGTAATTACCGGGGTGGGTGGGAGTGGGGGTGCTGCTGCTGCTGGGAATGTAATAGAAATTGTTGTAATGCGAATGGGGAATGGAAATGCAAATCGAAATGGAAATGGCAATGGCAATGGCAATGGTATTGGTTGGTTATTCAAACTTTTGGGGGGGCACTTGACGTTGCACATTGAGAGTGTGCTACTTGTATTTAGTATTCAGGGGTTGAACAGGTGTCTCAGGTGTAAATTAACAATAACAAATTAATTTACCATTTTCAGAGCTGGAAAGCGACACCTAAAGGAGGTATTATATACATAGCCTTTGATATGGTTTAATGAGTGTAACAAAAATTCTGAGCGGACTAAGCAAGCGATTAAGGAGTTAAGCAGCCTACCAATAGCCAATAAAAATATTGAAATAAATAGTTCAAAATTAAGGCCATGAATCGGGTAGGAAATGCAAAACCCACAGACAGAATAAACTCTAGAAATAAATGCAAGCTGAACAAAAAATTCTTGCTACATATAACTACAGAAATTTATGTGCCCAACTTACTATCAAGTATATATCAAGTCTTTGGCTGAACCCCAAGCTGTCCACAGGCCAAATTCCCAACAAGTTCTTCACTTTCAGGCGAAAGCTGAGCAGAAAACTGCGGTTCCAAGCACACACTTAAAGGGCAAACTGAAACAAAAAAAAAAGGCAGCCAGGTTTAAGATTTTCCCACACACACAGATGCGATTATTCCTAGTCATACTCGTAATAAAGGCGATGGATATTTGTATGTAGAATGAGTGGGTGAGTGGGTGGGTGGGTGGGTGAGTGGGTTGATGTCAGTGTCGCAGTTTTCTAGAAGCCAGAATAAACAACAACCAGCCGGCGGCGTCACAAACTTCGTAACGGCAACGGGAACCACAAAACATTTTGTTGGACAGCGAACGGCCGGCAAAGGACATCGAAACGACAGCGTCGCCCCGTTTGCCTGCAACATGACAGGTGGCGCGACCCCACCCCGCCAACCATTCGCGACCAGGCTACCCCATGGCCAACCCATGGCCAACCCATGGCCACCCCCATGGCCTGTACCCGAGCCGAGCCCCGAGCCCGAGCCGCAGCCATAGCTGAGGCTGTAGCCCCACTTCAGTGGGGCTTTGTCACAGGAACTGTTAATAATGTGTAGCCCCAGCAGCGAGCGCAGGAACAAAATCAGCGTCATTGGCGCACCTACAACATGCGATGTTGCGGTCAGCGACAACTTCGTGCCGTATCAGCAGAGTGTGACGGGGCAGAGATGCAGCCAGCAAAAGAGAGACGGGAAGAGAGTGAAGAGTGGGAATAAAACACACAGCTTCCTCCTGAAAATTCAGCGAAAAATAAAAGTGCACCCAAATGGTTGGACATGGATGCGAGGGCAGGTCATGAGTGACGG